AAAATGCCACCGCATCCAAACAATTTCAAGGTTTCCAGACTTATTTTTTTGCGATGGCATTTTCGTAATTATTTTCGAGGTGCTATAAGTTATGATTTATTGGTTAAAATGTCCTATCTTTGATCTATAAGTTTGACTTCGCAATTTTCAACCTAAGATCACTTCTCACCTGATCCGCTCCATATATATAGCGCATGTGCATATATACCTAAGTGTGTGTGTGTGTATGTATATATATATACACACATATATATATATAGACACACACACACACATACATACACACACATAAAAACATAGTCAACTTCAAAAAATGATTTGAATGCTTTTCCAATCGAATTTTGAACTGAAATTTGGTATGAACAAACTAGACTTGATGAGGAACATGCTCAAAAAAATTCATCAAAAAATTCCACCGAGAAAGGCCCCAAACGAGGATGTTCGGACGATGCTTGGACGGGGAATGTTCGGACCTGAACATTCCACTACATACATACATACATACATACATACATACATACATACATACATACATACATACATACATACATACATACATACATACATACATACATACATACATACATACATACATACATACATACATACATACATACATACATACAAAACGGATATGTGGTACAATTCGATATGTGGTACACTCAAAACGGATAACGGATGAATGAGAAATTGATTCTCGAAGTTGAGCCCGTTGGAGCAGCCTACTGCCCGCAGTTGCCTGCTGAGGCTGCTGCCCGCAGCTGCCTTCTGAGGCTGCTGCCCGCAGCTGCCTGCTGAGGCTGCTGCCCGCAGCTGGCTGCTGAGGCTGCTGCTCGCAGCCGCCTACTGCCCGCAGCCGCCTGCTGAGTCCGCTGCTCGCGGTAGCCTGCTGCTGCCGTTACATCAATTAAATGCCCAACGTTCCTTTGCAATTAATTGGACAGTTTTCTTGATGAATCAATGCCAACGTGCTGGACATTGATTACCAACGTTCGTGTCCATTAAACGGTCATTAACACACAACAAATCTTCCATATAAAAGGCTGGCAGATGTTTTTCATCAACAACACGTTAAAAACACAATTCATACACGAACTGCACATTGCTCTAGCTCAAAACCCTCCAGCTTTCTCTGAAAAATTTCTTGGTGTTCATACTTGTTCTCGTTCGCTGGAACAATTTGTTTGAGTGCTCAAACTATGTGACAGTTACTATCTCTATAATACTGTTACTAATGACAGTTGTTGTAACTGTAACTGAATGGGTTACACATGGAACTGTAATTGTAGCAGTTACTAAGTAGAATTAGTAACAGTGTTGAGCAGTCACATAGTTACTAAGTGAAATATAATTTAGTGACAGCTACTATGTGACAGTAATTACTAATTACTTACAGTTATATAAAGTTTCTATACTACCTCATTCACTTACTATAGTTACATATATTTAGAGTTACATTACTAATTACTTACGGTTACTCTATTCCAGTTACATGCTTAACTTCAAATTTATAGTGACTAAATTGTCCCTGTTTTTATTATTTGAACTAGATTATTCAATACTTGGATCTGCAAAAGTTAACACTTGCACACACAAAATATTTTCACTTTGTTATTACAATTTGAATCAGTTACAATATGGTACTTATATGGCCATTAATTAATTCATTAACTTCATCGATCGCTTATTTGTTCATGACCATCCGGTTGGACACTAAATATGTGCATTGTGCGTTTATAATTATCGAGTTCTTACAATTAAACACCAAATCTCAGTGATATAGTGTTTAACATGTGAAGTTCTTAACGTTCTTACAGTTACAACACAAAATCTCAGGAGTTCTTATTTAACAAACACAATTGTTATCTAACAATCGTAAGAAAAATTGGAGTGAATCTGATCATTGAAGATCATTGAATTCTACTTTTGAACAATTACATGTGATTCACTGGATAATTTTTCTTACATTCGATTTGTTTGATCCATCATCGTCATCCATTCTCTCTCTTTACAAGCCTCCTGGCTGCTTTCCGAAATCGTCTTGGAAGTCTGGTACTGCGTATGGCTTGAGGATGTTAACGACTTGATTTGTACTAAATGAAGGTTATTTCTGGTAACGGGACGAAGAGAGTAATTATTATGTTTTTTATTCAAGTGATTTCAATCTCAAATCAGATTAGATTTAATAGATCAGATCAGACTAGAACAGATTTTAGAATACTTTTACTTTAACTTATTTCAATTCCAGACCAAACCAAAACAAATCAGACTTTAACAGATCACACCAAACCAGATCAGACTTCAACAGTTGTAAAGTACACATAAATCAAACATCTACCAGACCAGGTTAGCACTTAAGTAGACTATTCTAGACCAGACAAGGAATTTTAGTTCAAGACAAAACATCCTTAAACACATCACACCAAATCATATTTGAATAGTTGTAAAATACAAATGAAACATACTACCTCCGTTCTTAAATAAATGCAACATTTTAACTTTTACACTATTCACATGTTCTACTTTGACTACGTTTTATTTATTAATGTAATAATATTATTTTATGAAAAAAATATTGTTAAACTTGTCTCATTGTAAATTTTCATAATCTATTTTTTTTAAAATTTTTTTGCTAATACAAAATCATTTATATTAATGTTCAAAGTTGTGTCTCGGCAAGTGTGAAATGTTGACCATTGCATTTATTTAAGAACGGAGGAAGTATATCTATCATAGCAGATGAAATCAGACCATAAAATTACAGTTCAATTAAAGACATCATATATACTCATTCGTCCTGAAAAGGTTGAACAAAGTTGACTTTCACGTGGATTAATAAAGTAAAAAATGTGTGGTTGAAATTAGTGCAGAGGAGAGAGAATTAATTTTAGCCACATATTCCTTACCGTGCAACCAGTGCATGGTGAGCACAATGCACACTGGGTATTCTTTTTTCTATTTTTTTAAAAAATGGTAATAACTTTTTTATTTTTGATCCAATTTTTATAAAATTTAAATCAACATTTTTTATTTTTCATGATCTTTCAAATGAGACCAATATTGCCTATGTAATTTTAACATATTATCGAACTATTATATTAACCTATGTAAAATATGTAATTTTATGTGTAGAAATATGTAACTTTACGTATAAAGATATGTAACTCACATGTATAAATACATAATAAATTAAATTTTTCATATACACAATTTTAAGATAAATTGTGATTTACACAATAATTTTTCTGTATTAAATTTAGTTCGATTTTCCTTATAATCCAATACACATTAATATAATAGTTCAATAATTTCTTAAAATTACATAAGCAATATTGATCTCATTTGAAAGATCATGTAAAATAAAAAATGTTGATATAAATTTTATAAAAATCGGATCAAAAATAAAAAAGTTATTAGCATTTTTTAAAAACAAAAGGAAAAAAAATAAAGAAATCCGTATACCGGTATACGGTGCTCACCGTATACCGGTCATACGGTATAATTTGCCCTTATTAGGACATTCAAGAAAGGAAATTTGACCAAACTTTTCGAGTATAACGAATATTATAGTACTAGTATATACCACCCCGTACATTTGAATTTCGATACTTCCAACATGCCGAGAAGAGCTTGTTCTGTATCAAAACTTCGGCCTACCAAATTTCAGTACACAAAAAATTTCGCAGAGGAATAGTTTTACTTGGTATGGCATTCAAATGTTCTATTAAAGCAAACATGATGATTAGTATTACCCTCTTTTTGTTGCAATCTTGGATTTTTAGTGATTTCTCAATAGTTAGTACATTTTTGCTTTATCATCAAAATGGGGTGGTCAATGCCATGCGCAACAAATGTAAGACATTGAGCTCAATTACTTCCCAGGATATCATCAAAATCCCAATTTTAATATAATTGGCGTTTTCTGACCCAGATGGGAAGCTTTAATGCAATTTCCGATCTATGAAAAATAATATTTGTTCCATAAATATTTTAATAGGATGCAAATTGTTAGGAACTTCTACTATAGTACGTTGAATTATTATGCTTCATAATAACTGAGGAACTAAGTAACTAGTACATCTGTACATCATCTCCTTCTCTAAATACAACTGTTATGACTTATAATGCTTGACTGGATAATATTACAACGTAATTCTTTTACGTAGCCAATTTGTTAGGAACATCTAATCTAGTATATATATTAACAATAGTGGTTATAATTTAGATATTTAAAAATTACATTGAAAGTCCGATCGAATCCTTAAAGCCAAATTTCAGCATGACAAAAATTTATTACATAAAAAGTTAGATGTTAGAAGATGTTAAAATTGGACGCAATAATCATATAATTGAAGTTCATTTGGGAAGTAATTAGTTTCCAAACCCGCTGTTCATTTCTGTCAGGTTAGAGTTGATTTTACTGTAGAGAACTGTGTTTTTCAAATAAATGAACAACCTTTAAAAGAATTGAATATCCATGAAATTATAATGATTGGGGTACCAATAACGGAGATCGAAATCATATTTTAAAAAGTAAGACAAATTAGACAATGTTTTTATTTATTCATTGAATTGAGCAAACGTTTATTTAATACTAGTACTTTCAAAATATTTGTTAAAAGCGATCTGAAAACATAAACAGAAAACAAAACAAATGATTAATTGTATCACAGAGGAAAGACCAATCGAATGAACAATTTTAATAAATATGGTGAAGACTGATTACAATGAAATAAAAGACCTGTGAAAGAATAAGAATACATGGAATTCATATGCAAAATGACCACTTATAGATACTGAATAGAAGAGTTCGAAGATAATCAATATACTAAATTTATACTTCGTATATGTTAAGGTTTACGAGTATAACAAAAGTACTACTATTGCCTAATACTAGTGTCATTAGTATGACTTATATTTAGTTTATATGGTGCAGTCTATGCTCAAGAAAATAAAAGCAATGTGACTAAATGTGGCAAAAGTGATATTGCCATATTGGAGTAGGGACTAAGAGTGGAAAAAATGTACATATAAGAAAAATGTATGTACTCATTTCTTGCGAAATGAAAAACAACAAGCAAGCAGCTAGGTGCCTGATGCAAATCTCAAAAGCTCCCGCATGCTAATGCAAGGTCAGCTAAGAGTTTCTTACTTAAGATAAAAATCATAACTTTGCTATTTCTATCGAGTGTTTTATTAAGCACAAACACAACACATAATAAGTGATGCAAATTAATTTACCCAATTAACTCATATTCCAAACTTTAGTATATACTTGTAGAGGTTGCCTAGTTATTGTATCTGAACCTGGATCTGCCATCAATACGTTGCCCTTCTCAAGCAGCGAGCAGTCAATCATCCTAATCTCCTCCAAAGTTTCATGAGGGGTGCTACACAATTCATTACTGGCTGAATTGGAGAATAAGTTTATGAACCCGTTTTCCAGTCCACTATTACGCCAAGCAACATTACTTATGTCTGTGGCTAATGCGGCAATTTCATGGAGCGGAATGGAAGGAGGCTCGGCATAGTCAATAAACTCAGGACCCAATAAGGAATTATTATGATTTCCTTGAGTTGCAGTCGCACAGCAGCCATGACCACATTGATGAGGAATCAATTGTTCACCATAAGCCGCTTCAACCAATTTGCTGATCCCAGAATTAAGCTTTTGGTCATCGAGTGAATTATTATAAATATTAAAAGCACTTACACGAGCCACAGGTCTGAACAGAGTTGGTGGGTCTCCTGATTCTTCACTACATTGAACTGCTTCATGGATCTTGTCTTCAGGTAGCATATTTTTTCCATCTTCAAGTGAGGAGAAACCTTTCTCCCTCGATGAATTAACATCTCCACACGATTGAGTGTCATCAGACGATCCTTTAGATCTTTCTACACTAACATCTTCCATCATGTTGCCAAACTCGCCTTTAAACTTTTCAAGTGCGGCATAATGACGTCTCAAGGTAGAATTCCAGTGATTTTTTATTGCATTGTCTGTTCTTCCTGGCAAAAGCTTTGCAATTGATGCCCATTTATTTCCGTGGACAGCATGTGCCTGGAGGATCATGCGATCTTCTTCCTCTGTAATCATTAATGCCTTTGTTAGTAACCTTGGTATTTTAAACCATTCTATGATTCTATTACATTGTGCACCAAGGGTCTAAGGCTATGTTTGGATAAATGTACATATCTACTCTACTTATAGGGAAATACAAATGGCGAGGATCGATTAGCCACATGTACCTCATGGTCCTCATACCATACGTACAGGGAGGTGGGGGAGTATGCAGACTTGTGGGATGCTTTTTAACATCCATGACGAATTGGATTAGCAAGCATTTGTGATTTTCTTAACAAACTCAAAAGCAAGATTACCATGAATATGAGTTATTTCCAAGGTCAAAATTCAACAGGTAGAAACAGTTTTGTGACATTTGTCATTTCCTTGCTCTATGTGGAGAGACGGAAATATAGATGGTCAGCCCACTAATGGCATGCTATACGTAAAGACTTACGGGTTGATATGATTAAAGTTGTCTCCTACCTAGAATATCTAATGAACCTGCAAATTGTTTCACTATACCAAGAAATGTTAAATATAAAGTCAGTAGCTCCAAAAGGAAGATTTAACCTGGAACAGCTAACCTCCATATTTTCCATGGGAATATCATGCATTTATGTATCATTACCAGCAGTTCAACACTTTCACCTTTATGCAAAAGTTTATACTCTGGAATTTAAATGTTTCACTTCACTCAAATTAACGTTAATGCAGTTTGCCAGTTTAAATGCATTGGCTCATTCAATACCCAGTCCCTGCTAATGCAAATGGTGTCATGGGAGGAGGGGCTATCATTATAGGGCTTTATAGGGAAGAATGTGGATACATATATGCTTACAATGCAGAAGACCATGTTCCAATGGCAAGTACTTGTACTAAAAAGTATTAATTCACGATCTAGCAAGAGATGAAATCTTCTACTCTCAGTCCCACATCTATAAAGGCTATGTTTGGAAAGCCACTTCAGCTCAAAAAGGGCTGAAATCTTTTAAATTCAGCTAATTATTTTAAAAGTAACGTTGTTCGGTAAAACAACTTATTTGGACTGGATCTGAAATTATGGGTCTGAATGAGAACGCTTCCTACCGTAACGTTTTTGTTCAGCTTACTTTTAAATTTACTTCCGTTCCCATACTATCCCCGACCCCTGTCATTCTTCTTTTCTCCTGGACTGCAGCTCTCTTTCCCAGCTTTCATCTTCACTGGCTTTTCAGAGCAGTGAAAATCAATTCTGATCCACAAGTTGAGGTAGCGGCTTATGATCTTTAAAGTACAAGATGATGACGATAGATCTAGTTCAAGCAACGGTGTAGACTGGAACGACGAGCTTCTTTGCTCTCTTTGCTGCTGCAAGACACTCTGAATTTTTTATGATGATAGCAGATTTCTAGTAATGGGTCGTGGGTACACTAGCTACAAACAGTCAGCTTATGAGCTTATCGATTTCCCCTATCTTCTCAAGAATTCCAATTTTTTTGCTTCTATAATCTACAGCTGGGTGTGGAACATAATTTCTTGGAGTTGCAAAAGAACATTCATTCGCCAGAAAATACTCCTTAGGAATCGCCAGAGACCCTAGCTAGTTTTATTGGGCTCTTGAATGAGTTTTCAAATTTTTTAATTAGTATTCGGAATAAAATCTTAATATTTATTAAAATAAAAAATCTTAATAATAAATTGTTTTATTAATATATCATATGCCCTTTAATGTAATTTGATATTGTCCCGACACTTTTTCAGATCTTGTTGCCAAACGGGTCTATTCTATTCAGTTAACAATCCAGATTCAGCACTTCAAGTTCAGTTCCAGACAATTATCTCTAATTCAGACAATAGTACCTAATTCAGACATTAGCCTCCAGTTTCAGCTCGTTGTGCCAAACATAGCCTTCCCAATGTTCATAGAAAATATTCTACTTTTGGTCTTACTCTTACAACTAATAAATCATTTTCACTTTTGGTACCAACTCTTTTAAAGTATAAATGTGTGACCTGTGAATTATTTGCCACTTTCATACTTTTTGTTTACTTACAGGGCGGAAAAAATGACAAGTGTATAGAAAGTGGCCACATAAGTGATCAGAAGGACAAAAATGTCAAGAATCCATAGTGGTGCACCACAAGTGATAAAGAAAGTTGATAACCAAAAGTAAAAATGATATAATAGTCACGGGGAAAAAGTGTGATATACAAATTTCTACCGACATTTACCCCACTGATTTTGGTGGTTTGCCAACAGAGACGGAAAAATAAAAGCAAATACAAATTTCTAAACAGAAACCTTTCCAACTATTAAAACTTTGGGAAACGGAATATGGGATACAATAATACACTCTAAAGATAGCCTTTTTCAGCTTTTCTATAGAACTGGTTTTTCTCATTCCTATTTTATGTTATGAAGTTCCACACTTAGATTCATACCGTTTACACGTTACAAAATAAAAAATATAGCAAACTTCGCATGTTTATATATATAAACAAACATAATGACAAGCTGAGAATAGAGCTTCCTCAAAACCAACATTTTAGCAATTTCAACATAAAACCATTCTTGAACAAGCACTCGCAGGCTTTTAAACGTACTTCTAATATTAAGTTCATAAGTTCATAGCCATAACTCATTATAAGGCGTCTACTCATAAAAATGTCAGCTTTACAAAAAATATCAAGCTAAAAAAGTAAGTTCCAAGCTTCCTCTAACAGTCAGACCAAGTTCAAGTCAACATACATAACACCAAGGAAATTGAGAAAATTGATCAAACACCAAATCAGCAACTCACAGCAATAACTTTGCAAGAGAAATCAGCATCTAATTGAAAGGGAGAAACAACTTAATGACAGATAAAAAGACAAAGGGGTAGAGCCTAAGAGAGAGAGGGAAAGGCTAGTGAGTAGTGTACCTGTCTCAAAGAGAACTCTGAACTCTGTAAGTAAGGATGTAAGTAAGGACTTAAGACATAAGTTCCTACCTCTTAGCTTTAAAAAACGTGCAAAACCCTAGACGACTAGACGTATGTTAAGGTCTGAGGTTCCATCCTCTAAGGTCAACCTGATAGGAGGAGTAGTTCATGTCTTAATATAGCACTTTGTTTATTCAAACTTTTCCGGTGTGGGATTCTAACACCCCTCCTCACGAACAGACGATTCGTCTGGATCGTGTCGTCAATCATTTTTTCGTCGTTTCGTCATTGTTATTTTTTTAATAGTGTCGTCATTTTTCATAAGGGGACCCACACCATGGTTATGGATCTGTTCGGCTCTGATACTATGTTAAGGTTTGAGCTTCCATCCTAAAAGGTCAACCTGATAGGAGGAGTAGTTCATGTCTTAATATATTGAGGCGGCCTCGACCCTTCAACAACAAAAAAAAACCTTATGCATGTGTGTGTTGATTTTTAAAAATATGGTCTTTGCCCCCTCAATATAAAATCCTCAAATCTGTTCCCCTATCACTATTTCTGGCTCTGCCGGTGCCCATAAAGGTCATGGGAGATTTACCCAATCATTAGCCTTAGGATCAATGGGATTAGTCATTCAAAATGGTCCGCGCTTCCACAGCAAGAAAACGTTTCAAAGTATGGATACATACTAGTCTATTATAAGCCGACTCCCAAAAATATGCACATTTTGCAGAGCTTTTGAAAATTTACAGGGGCTCGTGAGTATAATACGCAAATCAGAACCCATACTATATGCCGAATAAACTGAGTAGAAACTAAACATCGAGTCCACGTAAGTATCAGGACCCTATATTTCCTACAAGAAAGTACTAGTAGCACATTTACCTTAGGCTTATTGAAATTGAGAAATTTCCTCAAAATGTTCCTCAAAGATAATGAAGCTGAGGGTTACCAGTAAATGGCTTGCGTTTGACCGCAGGGTCAAGCTGATTGCACCAGCGGAGGCGGCAAGACTTCCCCGATCTGCCTGCAATTCCTCGCGCAATCAAGCTCCAATTCCTAGGGCCAAAGTTACTCACGAGTTTACTGAGAATTGCATCCTCTTCCTGAGACCATGGCCCTTTCACTCGGTCCGCCGCCCTCTTACTGCTCACTTGGTCGCTGTTTACGCTGCCGTCATCCAAAACCATCAGCTCGTCGTCTTCCTCACATGTCCCGCAATAGTCTTTGCTACCTCCTCCGCCGGCACCGCTCTCGACGGTGGCATCACCGGCCAAGACCGGCAGATTCTCCATTTTCGTGAAATATACACCCGACGGCCTCAGTAATATTCGGAGGACTAATTTTTTTTGGCATTTATGCTTAAACTTTAATCCATTAAAACCTTTGACAAAAATAAAATTAATAAAATAAAAATTGTGTGATTAAGATTTGTGTATCATTTAACTAGCATCATAGATTCTTTATTTGAAAGAGAAAGAAAGTTGACAAAATTTAAGAAACGGAGAAAGTAATAAATACGTTTATTTTTATCTAGAAAATAAAAATATAATAAAGTGGTTGTAGTTGTGTAGGAAAAATGTGAAAGAATGTGAATCACATATTTTTTCCAAAAGTGGAAGTTAGAAGAATTAATTGAGACGGTCCAAAAAGGAAAGTTGGAAGAAATGACCGGAACGGATGGAGTAGTTTATGTATCCAATTTTTATCAAATTTGAGTTTTTCTTTTGCCACTTTATAAAACTTTTGATGCAGTCTTTGGATAAGTAAATTTTATTTTCTAAAAAGAATCTAATTACGGATATGATCAATTAACTTTATGATCGATTAAATAAAGTAAACCGTGTGGAACCTTTCTACGGGATGTACAGAGATATATTTTTATTTTTATATATATGATATTGGTGTTATATGAAAGATAATAAAAAGTTATGAATTTTGATATAATTTTTGTAAAAAATGAATTATAAATATAGAGCCCGTTTGGTAACACCAAAATCGGCTGATTCTGCTGAAATTTATGAAGTTCTGGCTGAAGTGGTTGTATTGGCCGATTTTGCTGATTCATGAAAAAATTATATTTAAAATATTTGTTATTAATTAATTAAATAAAAAATTATATGAAAAAATAGCTAAAATGATCCTCTACAGTAACTTCAGCTTATTACAAAATTCACCACGCGAAATCAAAAGTTACGCTTTTGGTGAAAAAGCTAGCTAGTAAGCTTGATAAACCGAAAAGGATCACCAAAGGGGCTCATAAAAGTTCTCTAGAGGGAGTATATCACAAGAGAGATTATTTCCGAACAGTCGTGGTTTTTGAAGTTTCCGCTAGATGACTCCATCTTTTTAATGTGATTCTCTAGGAAAGTTTTGTTTATTTTGTTTCAAAAATGATGTTTGTACACACTCTTATACACACTTTTGTACACACCTATGTCTGTGAAAGCTTTTTTTTTGTCTGTGAACAGAATGTTTTGCACAAACAAAATATTGTCTGTGAACCGGATTCACAGATAAAAAAAAAAGCTTCACAAACATGGTGTGTATAAGTTGTGTACAAGGGTGTGTACATGAAGAATGATTGATTTTGTTTTGACATCCTTCACTCATTTTCCACGCCAAAAAGGGTGTCCCATGAGATGGCATCTATATCTATATATCTATTAATCGAACTAAGTCATTTCCCGCCTAAACTTTCAGGGCATTTTAGTAAACTTCTATCTTTTCTAATTCCTTCGTCAGCCCATTCTATCCAGATGTTTCAGACGGCTCTAGAATCCTCCTACACGGTTCTCAAGGACTTCATCCCCGAAGAGTTCCGCCATCAACCTCGAAGCATCTAGGTCGACAATAAGTATTTTCTCTTCTACTTTCATTCTTTCATACGTCTTCCCTGGTCATCTTCTTTCTTCACAATGGCTCTTCGGTCTTCCTCACTTCAAAAACTGTAACCATCTAGATTCATTTGCTTTATGGAGAATTCCAACCACAATTTTAATCTCCACCCTCCATAAAATCTCAAGTATCCTATGTCTTCCTCTCCATTAGCTCATTCGATTTTTACAAGAATGCTCCAATTTATTGCATTACACCATCAATAATCCCACCATGCAGGTCTGTAGATCTTATTAATGATTAAATACGAAGTCTATTATATGCTTATGTATGGCCGGTTAAAATTTTATTCGTGTTTTTGTGTAGGGTTCACTCAATTGCTTCGAATTTGAGATGGAATGTGAAACTTTGAATTCAGTTCTAAGATTCTCAGATTTAGAGTGCTTTTAAGATGTTTGTAGAAATGTCACAGTAAAAAAATCTGCATTTTATCTTCTTCTGCATTTTATCTATTTCTGCTCCGTAGAGTCTACTTTCAGGGACCCATGATGGATTGGGATAGTAATGGCTTATATTTGAATTTGTATTTAGATTTGAATTTTGAATTTAAAATCTACGGTTGAATACCATTAATGCAAAACAAATCTCAAATGATTACCATAACAGATTATTTCAAATAGTAGCTTTTGATGGATTTCTGGCCTAGAACGCTAACCGTAAGAACTTGAGCTAAAAGGGTGAACTTTTTAGTCTTTTCCTACTATTTGACATTGCTGAAATTTTCTCTTCTCTATGGGTTGTCTATAGTTTTACCTGGATGCTGTTTTTTGTTAAATTTTTCTCTAACTTAACCAAAAAACACATGTAACCTATAAATCTTCAATGTTTCTTATTTACTTCTCTATTTTATTTTTTCCTATTTTCCAGGTTTCTTTTTTGATTGATCAATTGTATAGCGTGGGTTGAACTCTGGTATAACACTACGTAACACTGATCTACAAGAATGACTCCATTTGAAGGGATTTAAGGTCGACTGCCTCCTTTGCTAAGATCTTACATGGATGTGCAGTCTCTGTTGGTAGAAGTGAAAGTTCAGCTGTGTGACCGTGATGAGGTTATACGGGTGCTACGTATCTTCAATGTTTCTTATTTACTTCTATACTTAATTTGTTCCTATTTTCCAGGTTACTTTTCTGATTGATCAATTTCATTGTTAGTTTCTCTTCTATGACATACTATCGAGTTGATGGTGGGTGATTTCACTTATCTGGACTACATTTTACAATCAACGGGTGACTGAAGAACACATTTTTTTATTTTTTTATTTTACATTTCTTTGATCTGTATCAGTCTTCTGTTTTACATTTTTTGTAGAATGATTGGCTTTCCTTCACTAAAAATTTAATAAGAAGTAGCAGATTTATATATATATATATATATATATATATATATATTCATGATTCATGAGATTTCTCTGATTGAATTAGTTTTGAAGTTCATTTTAGACCTTTACAACACTAGAAAGCTGGAATGTTGTTATATACTCATAGATATTTACATAATAAGATCAGATGGGGCTCAAGGGCTGGGGTCATCAAGGTGTGTATTGAATGAGATGTGTTTTGTGGTATTAGGTTTGACAGAGTGAGAAACATCCTTCAGGGCCAAGAGAGAAGCTTATTGAAAAGAAGTTCTACCATAAATACCCATCTCAAGGATTGTAGGTATGATATGAATACTTCAGTTGGTGTTCCGCTTGCATTAGCGGCTACCTCACTTTTATTTGATTGTGAGTTCTTCCATCACAGTTTTTATACAACGTCCAACAAATATCTTAAGCCTTCCATATATCATTCTCTCCATTTTCTAAAACATTGTTTCACCAATGGGCACATATCTATGCCTCTTGAATCCTCAGGGGTTTATCTTCATATAGTTATAAAGTTCAATCACATGTATAGTCTATTGGATTTTCACGATCAAACTGATGTGTCTAAATTGCGACTCTATTAGTCTTATCGATTATGGAGTATATGTTAAATTTAACTCTAAGCTCAGGCTCGGTCGGGTTTTAACTTGACCTAGAAATAACATGTACTACCTCCATCCCATTAGAAGGTTCTCGTCCACTATTTGCATGGTCAACTTAAATCTTTTTTAATCGTTTACTTTATAAATCAAATTTTTATCAAATTTACATTTTTTATCAGCCTTTGTAGTGGTTTTAATGTAGTTTCTGAATATATTAATTTTATTTACTAAAACTAATCAGAGTGTGAACAGGGATTAAGTTGCTTTATCGTCAGTCAAGCATCGTAAACCGTTCACGGGAACCTTCTAGCGGGACGGAGGGAGTAATAGATTGTGTTATACAACTTCATGTCGGAACAAGGCTCAATATAATCTGTCTGGTATTGAATTTTTGACACCCGGGTTTGGGTCGATTTAAACTATCCAACAAGAAGTGAAAATAATCTTTTTTTAGTTAGTCCTTTAATTACGATAAACTGCGAGAACTAAACATTTAATTTGAGGAGTGAATATCATGGTTATACACTTATACAATTTAGTTTAGTTTATACTATTCAGTTTAGTTAAAAATGGAGTTTTGAGGAGTGAAATTGTGTATTTCTTAGTTTCTTTCATACAACATCTCGATTGTAGTTTGAGTAGTTTGTATACTCAGTAGGTTTTTGTTGGTTACTTTTGTAGTTCATGCCGGTTATATATATATATATATATATATATATATATATATATATATATATTCACTCCGGAACAAGGCTCCATGAAATCAGGCTGGTATTGAGTTTTTGACACATGGATTTGGGTCAATTTGAACCATCCACCAAGAAGTGCAAATAATCTTCTTTTTTATTCAATCCTGTAATTATGATAAACAATGAGAACTAAAAGTTTAATTTGAGGAGTGAAAAACATGGTTATACAATTTAGTTAGTTTATATACATGTTTAGTTAAAATGTGGAGTTTTCCCTTTATAATACCAGTTTTTTTATGTAACACGCTAAACATTGTTAACTAAATGGAATTTTTTCTTTCACTTTCGACCTTAATTTGAAATCTTTAAGATTAGAAGAGGTGAAAATGAAGTTCTTATACTTCAATCCATACTCATTACTTTCTTTTAGGTATAATTCTTTTAGTTTTATACTTTAAACCATAATGGTAGCTAGAGTGTTCATTGATATTGGAAAGCCCACTAAATCCACCGGAAAGCAAATCTGAAATTGCGTATTTCTTACTTTCTTTCATAAAACATCTGAGGGTAGTTTGTTTACTTATAGGTTTTTAGGTGTTATGTATACTTAATAGGTTTTTTGTTGGTTACTTCTGTAGTTCATGCCTATTAAAATCTATTCTAGAAGACTTTTTCGCTTGCATCACTTCCGAGGAGAAGTCATATTGATCAGATTGACAATTTTGAGCAAAGGATTCATACCGAGTCACCATATGCTCCACATATTTTCTTCATTTGATTAGATAGAGTTTTTTGCCAATCCGTTAACATCATTACAGAAGTTTCATACAACACTAACAAAATATCATAATCACATAATGGTGTTCTAGAAATTTTTGGGGACAAAGTTTTCTTTCCTTGATGCATTTCTTTTATTATCTGGGAAACTTGATGGCAACATTGTACAAAATTTGCATTATGCTCTTGATTGTGGTTAATATACACGATCAATAGAACTAAGTCATTGTCCCGCCTAAAACGCTAACCGTAAGAACTTGAGCTAAAAGGGTGAACTTTTTAGTCTTTTCCTACTATTTGACATTGCTGAAATTTTCTCTTCTGTATGGGTTGTCTATAGTTTTACCTGGATGCTGTTTTTTGTTAAATTTTTCTCTAACTTAACCAAAAAACACATGTAACCTATAAATCTTCAATGTTTCTTATTTACTTCTCTATTTTATTTTTTCCTATTTTCCAGGTTTCTTTTTTGATTGATCAATTGTGTAGCGTGGGTTGAACTCTGGTATAACACTACGTAACACTGATCTACAAGAATGACTCCATTTGAAGGGATTTAAGGTCGACCGCCTCCTTTGCTAAGATCTTACATGGATGTGCAGTCTCCGTTGGTAAAAGTGAAAGTTCAGCTGTGTGACCGTGATGAGGTTATACGGGTGCTACGTATCTTCAATGTTTCTTATTTACTTCTATACTTAGTTTGTTCCTATTTTCCAGGTTACTTTTCTGATTGATCAATTTCATTGTTAGTTTCTCTTCTATGACATACTATCGAGTTGATGGTGGGTGATTTCACTTATCTGGACTACATTTTACAATCAACGGGTGACTGAAGAACTCATTTTTTTATTTTTTTATTTTACATTTCTTTGACCTGTATCAGTCTTCTGTTTTACATTTTTTGTAGAATGATTGGCTTTCCTTCACTAAAAATTTAATAAGAAGTAGCAGATTTATATATATATATATATATTCATGATTCATGAGATTTCTCTGATTGAATTAGTTTTGAAGTTCATTTTAGACCTTTACAGCACTAGAAAGCTGGAATGTTGTTATATACTCATAGATATTTACATAATAAGATCAGATGGGGCTCAAGGGCTGGGGTCATCAAGGTGTGTATTGAATGAGATGTGTTTTGTGGTATTAGGTTTGACAGAGTGAGAAACATCCTTCAGGGCCAAGAGAGAAGCTTATTGAAAAGAAGTTCTACCATAAATACCCATCTCAAGGATTGTAGGTATGATATGAATACTTCAGTTGGTGTTCCGCTTGCATTAGCGGCTACCTCACTTTTGTTTGATTGTGAGTTCTTCCATCACAGTTTTTATACAACGTCCAACAAATATCTTAAGCCTTCCATATACCATTCTCTCCATTTTCTAAAACATTGTTTCACCAATGGGCACATATCTATGCCTCTTGAATCCTCAGGGGTTTATCTTCATATAGTTATAAAGTTCAATCACATGTATAGTCTATTGGATTTTCACGATCAAACTGATGTGTCTAAATTGCGACTCTATTAGTCTTATCGATTATGGAGTATATGTTAAATTTAACTCTAAGCTCAGGCTCGGTCGGGTTTTAACTTGACCTAGAAATAACATGTACTACCTCCATCCCATTAGAAGGTTCTCGTCCACTATTTGCATGGTCAACTTAAATCTTTTTTAATCGTTTACTTTATAAATCAAATTTTTATCAAATTTACATTTTTTTATCAGCCTTTGTAGTGGTTTTAATGTAGTTTCTGAATATATTAATTTTATTTACTAAAACTAATCAGAGTGTGAACAGGGATTAAGTTGCTTTATCGTCAGTCAAGCATCGTAAACCGTTCACGGGGACCTTCTAGCGGGACGGAGGGAGTAATAGATTGTGTTATACAACTTCATGTCGGAACAAGGCTCAATATAATCTGTCTGGTATTGAATTTTTGACACCCGGGTTTGGGTCGATTTAAACTATCCAACAAGAAGTGAAAATAATCATTTTTTAGTTAGTCCTTTAATTACGATAAACTGCGAGAACTAAACATTTAATTTGAGGAGTGAATATCATGGTTATACACTTATACAATTTAGTTTAGTTTATACTATTCAGTTTAGTTAAAAATGGAGTTTTGAGGAGTGAAATTGTGTATTTCTTAGTTTCTTTCATACAACATCTCGATTGTAGTTTGAGTAGTTTGTATACTCAGTAGGTTTTTATTGGTTACTTCTGTAGTTCATGTCGGTTATATATATATATTCTAGAAGAGACTAGAATATATATATATATATATATATATATATATATATATATATATATATATATATATATATATATATATATATATATAAACTTCACTCCGGAACAAGGCTCCATGAAATCAGGCTGGTATTGAGTTTTTGACACATGGATTTGGGTCAATTTGAACCATCCACCAAGAAGTGCAAATAATCTTCTTTTTTATTCAATCCTTTAATTATGATAAACAATGAGAACTAAAAGTTTAATTTGAGGAGTGAAAAACATGGTTATACAATTTAGTTAGTTTATATACATGTTTAGTTAAAATGTGGAGTTTTCCCTTTATAATACCAGTTTTTTTATGTAACACGCTAAACATTGTTAACTAAATGGAATTTTTTCTTTCACTTTCGACCTTAATTTGAAATCTTTAAGATTAGAAGAGGTGAAAATGAAGTTCTTATACTTCAATCCATACTCATTACTTTCTTTTAGGTATAATTCTTTTAGTTTTATACTTTAAACCATAATGGTAGCTAGAGTGTTCATTGATATTGGAAAGCCCACTAAATCCATCGGAAAGCAAATCTGAAATTGCGTATTTCTTACTTTCTTTCATAAAACATCTGAGGGTAGTTTGTATACTCATAGGTTTTTAGGTGTTATGTATACTTAATAGGTTTTTTGTTGGTTACTTCTGTAGTTCATGCCTATTAAAATCTATTCTAGAAGACTTTTTCGCTTGCATCACTTCCGAGGAGAAGTCATATTGATCAGATTGACAATTTTGAGCAAAGGATTCATACCGAGTCACCATATGCTCCACATATTTTCTTCATTTGATTAGATAGAGTTTTTTGCCAATCAGTTAACATCATTACAGAAGTTTCATACAACACTAACAAAATATCATAATCACATAATGGTGTTCTAGAAAGTTTTGGGGACAAAGTTTTCTTTCCTTGATGCATTTCTTTTATTATCTGGGAAACTTGATGGCAACATTGTACAAAATTTGCATTATGCTCTTGATTGTGGTTAATATACACGATCAATAGATATGCAACATAGAAGATGTTTGTGACTAACTTTTAATTTGTTTTTAAAATTTTTGGATCGTAGGACGTTCATGTGGAAGATGAAATTTTTCTTTCCTATTTGCGGAACTGTAAAATATGCATGAATTATCAATTGTAATAGCTTTGGGCAGGACTCTAAGCACTTGCTTTATTGGAGCCTTTTTTCTGAATAGAAAAACTTTCGATTATGTTATGGGCACTTGCAATTACTTTATGATTGATTGTCTAATGATGGGAGGAGGCAAGCCCCACACTCATTTATTTTTGCATCTAGAGTATTCTCTTTGATGTGTATGTGGATTATATTTAGATGTTAAAAAGATCGACACTTGCTTAAACTCAAGAATGTGTATGAATATTATTGCGGATGAGAATGATATATGCACATTTGTAGAAGCCTTTGATCTATTTGATGGCTTTGTACGTAATTTGTTACCTAGTTAGTTTGTTATCCCGTGCAACGCACGGGTAAAAGACTAGTTTCCTTTATTGAAGGTTTCTGCCCGCTCTGCAAGCTTCATTTCCCTGATAGAGAGATTTTACAGTGAGATAGGCTCCACCGTCTGTTGTTTCCGCGAATTCAGTGCCCTGCGGGCAACTATAAATTCATTTGAGGTGCGGTATTAGTCTTGATTAAGCAACATAACACTACATCATATCAGATTCCTTGGTCCAAAAGGTGGAATCTCCCACCCTAGGAGCCCCCCATACCCCGATCCGACAGGATTTTTGGGAGGATGTTAATCACGGTGACTCAGTCGGCCCAATGATGGTAGGCCTTTTTCCCGTGCGCACCAGAGGCCCAGCCTTATTTCAGGTTCTGTGACCTCCACACGGCCGCTGCGGGTTTCGAACCTTGGTCACTTGGTCCAAATTTCCCACCACTGAACCAACTGAGCTACCCGTGTGGGTATCATATCAGATTCCTATTTACACTTCCGGTTGTGTTTTATGTTTTTCATATGGCATGTTTGACACTGTATTATATGATCTATTTCAGAATGCTTGCTGCTAAGGGTACTTTTTTTTATTGAGTTTTCACTATAGTGTTAATAATGCAAGCCAACAATAGTGATATATCAGAATACATATAATCCAGTTTAGTTTAATAAGTTTCCTATGTGGTACCTTAGTTTCACCCTTTTTAGTAATTTATGTGAAATAATTAAAAGAAAATTCACATTTCTCTCTTTGGGGTTTTCCCATGTCCTCCCGGAGAGATTTTCATGATATATGATTCTTTTTTCTAATCCAAACAATTACTATTTTTATTCCCTGACCGTCAGTTTCATGATAGTTTTCTCTAATGTAGTTGAACTTGTTAGGATCGTATATCCGTCTCCGGCTCAGGTCTATTCCACTATAATCACATACATCACATTAGGAGGAGGCTATAGCATCCACTCTCAACTCTTCACTAAGACCTTTCTACTCTCTCACACAAAGGAAGAAGAAGGGAGCTCTGCTCTCAGGGATTATTTACGCAGGCTACAATCACAGGAAGAGGCCAAGGCCTCTAAATAATAGCAACGGTCAGAAGGAAGTCACGGGTGAGAGCCAAGACAAAAAAGGCTCACAGGCTGCCAGGACAAGAGTGCAGCGAACAGGAGGCAGAGAAGGGGCCAGCCAAGTGGATTAAGTCAACCGCTCAAAATAGGTATATATTTGATCAGGATATATACCAAAGAAAAGGTACCAAAGTGGGAGTAAAACAATAGGGTGCAAGCCTCAGCAAATAAAGTGAAAAGGGAGGCCTTGGTAGGACCAATACCTCCAACATTCTCCACCTTATTGGTCCTAGGTGGTGTAGAGAAACAATATAAGGTTGTGACAAGACTCATCATCGTCGGGTCACCCGGAATATCAACAGATAAAACGGGAAAACACTTTATTACGCAATCCACAGTTATCCACAGTCAAAGTTTAACACGCGTTTACAGGACAAGTGCTTCTCAGCAGAAAGACACTTGGTACCCATATCCGCAGGGTTAAACTCTGACGGGATCTTGCACAGCTTGACTCCACATGCATCAACAATATCACGTATGAAATGGAACCTAACATCAATATGCTTAGTTCTATCATTAAATACAGGATTTTTGCAAAGTTTGATAGCCGATTTGCTGTCCCAGAAAATGGTAACTCCCTTTTTGAGAAACCCAATTTCGGAGACAAGGCGTTTGAGCCAGATGGCTTCCTTAAACGCTTCTGTGGCTGCAACATACTCGGACTCAGTGGTAGAAAGGGCCACAATAGGTTGTAGTTGAGACTTCCAACTTATGCAAGAGCCACACAAAGTAAAAACATAAGAAGTTGTTGACTTCCTGTTATCTCTATCATTTACATAGTTAGAATCAACATAACCAATCTATTCAATATCACTAGCACATTTAGAGAAAACTGATCCATGCTTCACAGTAGATATCAGATATCTAAGCAACCACTTAAGAGCATTCCAATGAGGCAAACCAGGGTTGGACATATATCTACTCAAGCAACTAACCGCATATGCAATATCAGGTCTAGTCCTAACCATAAGATACATAACCGACCCTATTGCGCTGGAATAGGGCACAGATTTCATTTTCTCAATTTCAGGAGCAGTCTTGGGAGACTAGTCCTTACTTAACACAAAGTGAGATGCCAAAGGGACATTAACAGGAGAAGCAGATAACATATTGAATTTACTCAAAACTTTTTCTATGTAAGAAATCTGATTCAAAGTAAGAGTACGCTTACTCCTTTCCCTAACAATGTTTATGCCTAGGATCCTCTTGGCATCACCAAGGTCTTTCATGGCAAAATTCGCACAAAGACATTTTTGCACATCTTTAATAACATTCAGAGAAGGACTAATTATCAGCATGTCATCCACATAGAGTAACAAAAATACAGGCACGGAGGAAGTATTCTTGAAATACAGGCAATGATCACAAACAGATTTTTGGAACTTCAAAGATATCATGCATTTATCAAATTTGATGTTCCACTGCCTAGGGGATTGCTTCAGGCCATACAATGCCTTCCTAAGCAAACAGACATGCTCACTTCTCTTGGGATCCACAAAGCCCTCAGGCTGGGTCATTTAAATTGTTTTGTCCAATTCACCATGCAAAAATGCAGTAGTTACATCCATTTGTTTCATTTCCCAGTCATGGTGAGCAACTAAAGCAAGCATCATACGAATAGTGGTGAATTTAACAACAGGAGCAAAGATTTCAGCATAATCTACCCCCTCTTTTTGAGTAAACCTCTTCGCAACCAACCTAGCCTTAAACCTAACATCACTAGGTTCTTCCTTAACCTTAAACAACCACTTACACTCAACTACCAAACAGTTGGGGGGTCTAGGTACAAGGGTCCAAGTCTGGTTCACTCTCAAAGAGTCCATCTCACTTTTCATGGCACTAATCCATTTCTGAGACTCTTTGGAACCTAAGGCTTCACGGTAGGTCTTGGGTTCATTCAGCTCTAGGGATTCAAACACAGAAAATGCAAACATAGAAGTATCATGCACAATGAAAGCATAATCAGGCATACTATCAGCAGTTCTCCTAATAGCCCTTCTACTCCTATCTCTAGTAAGGAGATAATCATGCAAATTATCACTACTAGGCTCCACATGCACCTCATGCAAATTATTGTTGTCATGAAAATCAGATTCAGCACCAATATCATGCAAATCATGCTCAGTATCATGCAAATGCTCCACCTCACTCGAGGTGGTGGGACTATCATGCTCAGAGGAATCAGAATCATGCATAACAATATCATCAGTAATAACAGGATCAACAGATAAAGGACTAGCAGCAACAGGGACAAACACCACCTCACTAGGAGTACTATCAGACCTAGACTCAGGATTAGAAACAGACTCGGTCAAGCAAGGAAAATCAGTTTCATTAAACACCACATTTCTGCTAA